AACTGGCACAGGAAATGAAGTTTAAACAGTACCTGGAAAGCACCATATTAAATGGGCTTAATTCCATTAAACCTTCAGTTTTTAGGAGAAAAAGCAGTGACTGATAGTCCTTTGCTAATGCACTTTGTTCTTTTCTTCTTTTCCCTGCTAATCAAGCATCTCTAAATACCCATCTTTCAGGTTCATAGCTACATGAATTCTACTCTCATCTAATTATTTGGCATTTACCTTTAATTTCTGTTTCTTTCAGGAGGTGAACACAGCCTAATTTGAGTAATGATGTGATGATCATCTCTACCATTTTCTTACCAGATAGCTCTTACAGAGTTTTTCATATTCTTCACAGCTACTGTATCTCCTAAAGTATTGTTTCTACATTCAAATAAAGTTTGAAAGCAAATTAAATAGGGTAGTATTTCAGTATTGCTGAGGTTCTGGCTAAAGCTCACCCCCACCATTTGATTAAGAACTGAAAACATTATTACCTGCTGCGTTTCCTGTCTGTAAACTGAAGATTCTCCAGCCAGCCTACTGGTACAAGGGGACATCGTTTTCCTTGAAGCAGCTCCAATGCAGGTTTTATCTGCTGCAGCTCAGCTGCTCTCCATCACCTGCCAGAGTAATTCTCATGACTCTGCTCTCTGCACCCCCAGTTGCTGTACAGCTTCCTGGAAATTAGTACAGCAGCTTGACTCAATTTTACTACAGCCTACAGCTGCTAGCATATAGTAATTAGCCTTCTCATTGCAAGCAACAAGACAGCCCAAGAAGAGGTGGGGGTCAGATCACAAAACAAACCCCAGAAACTAGTAACTATGAAGCCTGTCTGCTCTACAGCAGAATGTAACAGTCTGCAGCTGCATTATTTTGCCAAAGTTAGTTACAACCAGGAATGCATACATATTAGCTGAAACCAGCTAACAGAAAGGATGCTCTAGCAAGCTGCATCTCTCTCTCCTTCTTCACGCTAGACGGAGGCAGAAGAGTCAAGTAAAATACATTTTATGGCTGCTTTATATTCCCACAGTGGTGCGGCACAGAGGCTGTTTCCACTTACTCTGTGCAGCAGGCAGAAGAGGACTGAGTTCTGTCTCAAAGAATGGTTTTGCTTCCTCTACCTTTCTGTAATGTTCCAAGAGAGTAATAAACCACCACAGTATTACATCAAGTGCTACATAAAAACCTGTCTCATGTGATTTCTCTTGACCTTTGCACTAAAGAAATAGTTTTACCATGCTTTGGGATGCACTAGTTTGGTGGATGGTTGTGGGTTTGGTTTGTTTAAAGAGATTTGGCTATCATTGCTTACTTTCCTTTGCTATTTCTGAAAACTGCTTGGGGTTTACCAGGCTAAAAAAACAATCTCTTTTCCCAATTTTCTTACTATCCATGCAAGAATTAAAAAATGCCAGAAATCTTTTATCTTAATCTACTACTTGCACTTTTTCTACCAAGACACAAATACATTTGGAAAAAAATAACAGTAATGTTGGTTGATAAGGTTCTTACCTGCTCACATGCCATTTGAAAGTCTGAAACAAAAAATGCCCCTCGAGCGTATTTGCTGCTTAATTAAAACTTACTCAAAGACAAGATTCCAGCAATATTTACCTGCCCAAGACACTACCCCAGGAAAAAAATCTACTGTATTTTGTCTAAAACATTTCTTTTGAAGTTTCTTTGCAAATTGTGAACATTTGAAGGCTGCTGCTCCTTTCCAAATGCAACCACAGATGTTAAGAGAAACTGGAAGTAGTACTTAAAAAAAACATCTGGACATACAATAGATTGACAGAATGCCAGCAGCTTTTCCATGGCTCTTCTTCCACTGCCTCTTAATAAAGCTTGGTTTTGCAACAGACATCATCCAGGAGAAAGGCCTTTCAGCCAGCCTCCATCATAGCAAACTAAAGGTTGCAGCATCAAATTAAGGCTTAGAGTTAATGCACTGGCCTTTGAATTTACTAGGTATTTGTGCCTGGTTTGAAGTAAAGAAAGCAAATCAAACTTGGCTCATTTCCTTCCTGTCATCATCTTTCTTTCATCAAAGGAAAGGTAACATCTTATGCCTTATGCAGCTTTTAGGGGACTTCATCAGGAAGGAGAGGTAATGATGTATTGCACCATTCAAACACACAAGTAAATCCCCTCCATTAACTCACCCCTCATCCTGAGGATCTGGAGTCAAGAGTCCAAGGCCAGCCTAGAACTTAAGGCTTCCCGGTCAGTGCACTATGCTACAGCTCTGCCAGCACAGGGGACCAGTACAGTGGATAAATCATATACTGCATGCCTCTGCAAACCACAGCAGAAAAAAAGAAAAAAAAAAAAAAACAACAAGAAAAAAAAAAAGAACACATAAATAAAAATAAATGCCATTTCATGAAATTGCAAGACAGTGTTAAAGCCTCTGTCTGCCAATCTGCCCAGATGTCATCATCTACATCATCCATTTTGTTCTTGTCCATTCCAGCAGTTCCAGGAGTACTTTTTACTCCTACCTCAAAAAAGATTAATTTGATCTTTAATCCAGGGTGGAATAGAGAGCCCTGTTCCACTTTGGGCTAGAAGAACAATTATTTGAGTAAAGGGCATGATGAGAAATACTATTTGATTTGTACAATAAGAAGTTTCAGCTTCTGGAAAGCTGTCAGGGTAACAATTCTCAGTTTCTCAATTGCAAAGCTCTTGCTTTCCCTTGGTGCTAGCTGCTCCTCATTCGTGGCCAGCCAGGATCAGCACTGACCACCACTGCTTGTAGAAGCAACTGTAGGAGAGCAGGTAACAAGGATATTGGATTTATATTGATGTCCTTTCCTCCAAAATAAAGTTAATCAAGAGTACTTCCCACACAGGTAACATTGGATCAGCACCGAATAAGGTTGTCTGAAGATGACTGTCCAAATTATTGTGTTTGTCATTGTGTGCACCGAGACCTTCATGGAAACCAATCTGCAAAAGGAAACTAGCCAGAAAGCATATCTGTACTCCAAACAGCACCACCTAAAAAGCAGAACTGTGGAAAAAGTCAGCCTTCCCTTTAACATCTCCCTTCCCTGTGCTGATATCCCTCAATACAAAGCAGGCAAGCAAATCAATTTCCTTCTTCCTGTGGATTCACAAGGCACCAGATACACTTCACGGAAGAAACTGAAGAGAAAACTGGAGGGGGGGAATATATATTTACCAGTCAAACGCAAGCAAACAAACTCAGACATACAATTTAAAAAAAAAAAAAAAAAAAAATGAAGAAAACCGAGAACTACAAAGGACTTTTTTATAAACCAGGATTTTAAGCAGTCTCATTACCCAACTCCATTTTAAAAGTATCAAAAGCATGTCAAACCTTGCTTTCTTTGACTTTGATAGCAAATGGTTATTTGAAGGATGTAGGGCAATGATACTAACAAAGACTTCTTGTATTCAATGCAGTAACTGCTTGACATCATAAAAACAGCTAAAAAACCCTTTCTCAAAACCCTCTTCCCTTAATTTTTGGTGACAACCATTTATACTAGATTTCCAAATTCATAGTTCTTAGATTTCTAATACAAAAACCACCACAATGAGTCTGAAAAATGCTTCATACCTTCTTCACACACCGCCATGGAAACAGAAGAGAAATGGTGAATTTTTCCCCACTCTGGAGGTCCATGTGCTGGTAGTGATTACAGAACTATGAACTCTGCTTAGGTGTGTCCCATCTCATTCTGTGTCATCCCCCCTCCCCCCGCCATGCCCTGCCTCAAGCTTTACATACAGCTCAGGACTTTAAACAAGCTTCCACTGATGATGTTGATGGCAGTTCTTCCACTGACTTCAGCTGGAAGTAAGCCAGATTTTTACTGAGCAGGCTAACTGTTGAATAATTTAATCATATACAGTTTCTCATTTTTATCAGCTACCACAGGAGATAGAAACTAACTGAAATAAAAGTTTTCTTGAGTTAAGAAAAGAAAATCAGGAGAAAGTCTCGTTGACCACCATATGTTTATTTTTAAAACAATTTACAAATAAAAATGTTATATTTATCCAAGCAAACACATTTAATACTTTAATCTTTAACAAGCTATACAAACAAGAACCATCACACTAGGGCTTTAGATAGGCCGAGAACCATTCAGGGGAGGCATGCATGTGTCTGTATCACATGAAGCGAGTCCAGTTCCTGACACCAGGATTCTGATCTTCTGCTTCTTCAGAGCTGGTCAGCTGCTAAATGATTTAACACAAATAGTTACTGGATCACAATACAATGAAAGCAAACCCATTTCAAATCATTTAAGTGACCTCAATGTGTCTGGTCCAGGTGTCAGGCCACAGAGCCTTACCGATTAGTCTTCTTCTCCAAAAGCCAGTCCGACAGATTTTCTCCCCTTGCTTAGTGATGTGGCATCCAAACATGTGCTTATACAATACAACAGAACAGCTTAAATACAGATGTAATACAACAGTAACTACAAATCACAGAGACAAACAAACAAAATAAACTGATCACATTCTTGCATTTCAAACAATGAAAGTGAACAAAACCATGCAGAACAGTTTCATTTAAAGAAATTTTCGTTTAGCTCTTCTGCAAGTTTCCATTTCCTCAAGTTCCAAATTGCTGTTCTTGAGCTCGTCCCAGCAGCTGGGCTACTCATGGTGCTACTGACACAAAGAGGGTGAGCTGGAAGTCATTCAAGAACGGACAAAGAATAAAAGCCTCCAAAATAAACAACAAAGACGCACGCATTATAAACGAGAGATTCCATTTTAATAGCAGAGTGTAGAAAAGAAATCGGCAAAAAATTTCACATAAAACATTTTACACAATTAATTATGTACAGAATAAAGTACGTGTCAGGTTTCCAATGATGCAAGTTTCACTTTAGTCAAGTCCTACCACAGGATGCAAAATACACCCAAAACTCTCAACTGGAATAAAAACCCAAACAAAACACATATACATAATCCCAGCTCTAGCTCCTCAAATATTGGGACTGGCTGGGTTCACTTCAACCCACTGGGCTTTCTGCTAAGCTTTCAGTGATTCCTGAAGTCCCCGTATCTTCCAAACTACCGTCAGCAGTTTCTGTTTGCTCAGTCTTCTTGCTGTGGATGGCACATGGTCCTTTGCCTCCTGAGCCACCCTCCTTTCCATGTGTTTCTTTGAGCCCAGGCAGGAAAGTTTCCACATGCCCAGGAGGCTGGCTGTCAGTGCTGCCTCCATCACAACTCGGTGATGGCATTTCAGCAGCACCACCTTTGCTCTCCTCCACGCGCAGGAGCATCTCGGACACGGCAGAAACGCCCTGTGTATCTGGAACTGGCGTGACCGCTTCTGTAGCGTCACTATCCGAGGACTGCAACCCAAGCTGTGACACAGCTGTTGGAGAAACACGTGTGCAAAACTGATCTTGAGTACTAGAAGTCAATGGAGCAATATCAGTAATCTCTGTTTCATCCCCTGGCTTTCCAGTCCCCAGCTTCTTCAGTTTACTGGGCTCCAGCCTAATGGACGCAACAGTTTCTACTTTTGAGACTTCTTCCGTACTCTCATTTAAAAGTCCTGCTGTAAGGCTGCTGAAGCACTCATGTTTGACCTTGGTATCCACCAAACTGAAATCAGTGCTTCTGAACTCGAGCTCCGCTTTCTGGGAGGGAGTCTTATTGTGTTTCACATCTTCTGATGTCAAAGAAACTTTCTTATTATCCACACAAACATTTTCAGAGAGACTTTCAGATTGCTCAGTGTTCAATCCTGAGCGAGTGGTACTCAGGTGACAGTTGCTGGCTGCTGAGGTTTTTGCAACCTCATGATTCATTTCTGGGGAGTGGGCGGCTTCTTCTGAAAGGCATTCCCTATGGAAATCTGCTGATAAAGCAACTACTGACTCTTGGCCAAGATGAGAGCAAACCCCAGAAAAGCCTCCAGTCCCTACTTCTTTTGCATCTCTTTTGATAAAACTATTATCTAATGTTGTATTAGATCCAGTGTGTCCTAATGATTTTTTTTCAACTTCATCTACTAATTCTACACTGGATCCGAGTTCAACAATGTTTGCAGAACGGGCATTAACTAGCCATTCAACTTCCTGCCTTTGGGTTTGGTTATCTAAAACTGTATGGCCTGAAGGTTCAGGTTGAACTTTTTCTTGAGCTTCTAATACGCTACTTCTAGTTTCTGTGTGGGTGAGACAAGTTTCTGGCTGTACCTCTGTCAATTCTGAAGCACTACCTTCTTTAGAACTAGTTTTTGTTTCTCTACATGGAGTATTTGATAAATCCCAACCACTTTCAGAACAAGAATGAGTTGTTACAACCTGTTCTCCATTACTAGTTCTGGAAGTGTTCCATCCACCAGAACTTCCTGTCAACTCTGAAATCTTATTTTGTGTTTCTGAAATTTGGGGAGCTTTACCAAGGACACCTGGCCGAGATATTTCCAAAGCTATATTTTTCCGTTTTACATCTTTTAAGGAGGCATCAACAGACTTATGCTCTGTCATTATTGTTATTAAAGTTTTTTCTTTTGAAGTGTTTTGAGAATCACAGAGCAAGTCTGGACTATTGTTTTCTGAGTGAGTTCTACAGTTATCACTTATTTTTTCCTCTACCAAATGGGAATTTCCCAAATTTCTGATTTCATTCTGTGCTTCAGGCAACGAAGTCTTTGGGTATAAGCTAAGCTCAGGCTTTACCACTTTCACTTCCCTGTCTTTCATCTCTGCATATTTCTTCAAAGTACCAGGAACATTTGCATTAGTAACTGCAGGTTTATTTGCATCTGCCTGTCCAACTTTCACTTGGAACTCTGTTTTCTGTAAATCAGAGAATTCCTGACTGCCTCCTTGCTCTCTGCCTCCTATACCCACAAGTCCAATTTCTGCAGGTGTCTGGATACCAGAAGTAGTTTTTGTTTCTGACAGTTCTGTGACCACAGACAGTTGAGGCTGAAGGGGCTCCTTGTTCGTCTCAGCCTCACTCTCACAATTCCCTGTTATTTGATTATTACACTGTGAGAACCCTTCCTTCAATTTAGTCTGAACATCTGTTGAAAGAGAAGTCTGAAACTTTTGACCTGTGTCTTTCTGAATACCATTTTCAATGTCAGGGCTCATCTCAGGATGAAGTATTAAAGTCTCCTGAGTATCAGTTTTCTCCCATTCTGAGCTGCTCTCAGCTGACTGGGCTTGGCTAACTTCATCAGCCACATTCTGAGAATCTTCTTTCAAGGAGGATGAGTTATTATTTGTTCTAGGGTTTGCAGATGAGTCTGCAGGTTTTGCTAGGTTAGAGCTTTCCCCATTTGGAAGTGCAGAACTTGCAAGCTTGCTGTCAGCTGAACCCTTTCCACCGCTACTGTAGAAAATATCATAGAGATCTTTAGCATTGGCTGTGGCCAAGCAAGAGTTTCGTTTCTCCACCTTTTTTGCATGATCACTGAAAGCAGTTGAAGGTGGTAGTGGAGGGGGTCTCACAGGCATTGCCAGAATTGTCTGATCACTTTCAGATACACCTGGAGCTACTTCATCTGCAGGGATGACAGCTGTCTGCTGCACTGCTGGTGAAGGACGGGGTGGAGGTGGTATACTAGAAGTCTGAGAAGACTCACTTTTCTCTGCTGCTTTCAAATCCTCCTCTGCCCCTTTTAAAATTACTTCTTCTCCCCCAAATGCTTTTGAGATGATATCTGGAGGCAGCAGAATATCTGCATTGGTTTCTTTGACCACAGGCAATGGTTTGGTGGTAGCTCCAGAGGACTTTATGGATAAAAACGTGTTCAAAGGTGCTGGTTTGCTAACTGTTGCAGTTGCAGTCTTCCTGAAAATCATGGTGGGGACTGGTAAATTGGGTAAAATTTTTGCCTGTGTTAATGTGGATACAACTGGTGTCCACGGGCTAGTGTGTGGAATAACAGTTTTCCCAGACAGCTTGATTTCAATGGGCTTGACATGGGGTTTCCCAGACTGACACTTGTTCTCCTCTTTGTTTCCTTCCGTACTCTCCTCTTTTGGAACAGCTCCTCCAGGGGTTTTATCCTCTCTCTCAATCTTTTTCCAGCTGAATTTCCCAAAGGAGGTCTGGCTTGGCGATTCCTTTTTAGATTCCTCTTTCTTTTCTCCTTTTTTCTCCTCCTCCTTATCTTCCTTCCTCAGCTTAGGCTTGATAACCGTTTTGCATCCAGAAGAATCTACTTTGCCTTGAGTTTCACTAGTCCCTTCTCCAAGCTCTGGGATGCTCTTTGCTTCCTCTTTCTTTATTATTTTTGCTTTCTTCTCATCCTTCTCTTCTTTCTGCTTCTCGACTAATTTCCGTTTCAGCTCATTCTGCCGCCTGCGCTCTGTCTCCAGAACTACAGCCAATCCAGCTTGACGATCTAGATTTCTCCTCTCTTCATAGAGTGGGTTTTCATCTATGTATTTCTGTGGAAATAAATGACACAATTTTAGCCACTGTTTCCATAAAAAATAAATTAATAAATTCAGCTCCATAACAGTTTTGACTTGTTCAGTAAGTGCCATCTCAACACTAAGAGATCAGAGAACTTCCTCCTACCAAGAAACTGAGATGTTCTGAACTCCACATTCTGTAATTTAATGTGAATTGAGTGGTGGCTTGCAGCAGGGCTATCATTTCATGGGAGAGTTTGAAAATCAACACTGGGACTTAAACACTATTTCAGTTTCACGAAGATGAAAAATTAGTCTCTATGTACTGGAAAGTACTGCTTATTTAGCTCAGTAGAATGTATTGAAGATAACCAATGCATATAACTCTGAGGACTCAAATGTCATTCTTCAGGAAAGGAAGACAGAACAAGTAGAAGCTAACACAAGGAATGACTCACTCCTGGTACACCAGTTACCAACCTTATATTTCTCATTGTGGGGATGACTTTTCACATGCTGCTCTGCTGAGATTTGATCTCCAAAAAATTCATGACAGAGCTGGCAATAATATCCAGTGATGGGAATCAGAAACTCAGAGCCTGAAAAGGCCGAAGAAAACGATCAGAGAAACAAAACTTAATAAATGCCAAGCTCTTAACAAAGCCAGATAAACATATCAAAAACAACAGCAAACCTTCAGCAAATGCTCCCTTTTCAACAGTTAATGCTGCTCTCCTTACACTCACAATATGGGAAATGCCACTACTGGGAGCAAACATGTAAACTGAAGAACCTTAATTATTATTTTAGTGCTCTCCATCATATTAAGGCTATCCTGTATTCAAGTAGGTTCATACTTCCTACTGCCTTAATCTGTTTTCTATCTTTGTGATACAGTCTGCTCAAATACTAAACACTTGGTTTATAGAAAGAACACAAGTATTTGCAGGACTGCACCCTTGTGCCTACAGAAGCAGCTGTAACACACCACAGATCCTCCTTTAGCAGGCACTACCAGAAGTATGTAACAGATCAATAAACCGAGACTGATTGCTGCCAGGCCTGTTCAGAGGTTCAGATTTGAAACATTAATTTTCCAATCACTTGCAGCACCTTCCATATGGTTTGCTCAGATTCTCTGTATCCACACTCTACCAAGTACTCATCAGTGATTTTTCAGGGATGCCTCTACTAAAACTGTATGGAACAGAAGAGTTTGTTGCAAGACTGTGTGGATCACGGAACAAGATTTGCCCAAACACAGCAAGCTCTTGTAGTGATGTTCTGAATTCTAGCGTGTTAGCAAAAAATCACTTCAGAACTGCAGCGGAGAAAGAAAAAGTCACTCAGTACTCAAAATAAACAACTAAACTATAAAAAGAAGAGAAGGAACCATGCTATGTTTTCCTACACTCTTGATTCATGGCCTTTTGTAAAAGAACAACCAGAAAATTAGATCATTTGCCTTTTACCTAATAATACAGTATCTAGATGTGCTCCCATAACAAGGTAAACTTTTGAAATGCCTTTCTCTGAACTAGAACCTGCTGAGGGGCAGAAGGAGATGATGCCCAAGTTGAATTAACGTACCTTTGGCAGGAACAGTTATCTTATCGATGCGTTTTATGGAGTCTTGTTTGGTCTCACTCTGGGTCTTCGAAGCCCAAGGTCTGTTGTAAGGATCCAGGGTCTATTTGCACAGTGACAGAGGTATACAGGCTCATGTATTACACTAGCAAGGCAAGTACCCTTGTCTTTTTCCTTTTTAACATCTTTTCAGAACACTGAATGTTAAAATCAACGTGCAAGTATTTACAGGAACTATCTTTTCTGCTCCTTCCCCTCCCATTTTGCAATTTATATTGAGAAAATAGCCTGTGAGAAGGGTAAAATGTAAATGATAGCAAAGAACAGGTAAGCATAAGAAACACAAATATCAAACACTAGTTCCCAAGTGAACTGAACATAGGCCCCATTTACACACCAGTAGCTGTACAAACTGCTCAAGTCCAACATAAGGGAAAAAGAATTTGATATGCAACTTCCTGGGTTCATTATTACTTCAGGTTCTCTTGTAAAATGTAGTTCTGTGATGTATGTTTTAGTGTTAATATTTATAGCAATATGAAATGCACTTAGTGAAGGAAGCCTGCAACATACCTGTCTATGTTTCTTATTGTGCATGTGTGTGAAAAAGTCAAACATGGTTCCGCAGATGGTATTGCAGTCTTTGCACCAGTGGTTCCCTGCATCATAATATTCATAAATATTGGCCAACTGGAAAGGATGTTTGGAAGACTGTGAAGAGGATTCTGCTGGCTTCGGGCTTCTACCTCTGGATTTTTCATTAGTAGTTTTTGATTCCTAAATTGAACAAAAGGAAACACTTCTCTAAGACAAGGCAGGACAGATGTAATGCTCTAGAACCCAGAACCTGCCTCCAGCAGAAGCCACATACATAAAAAAAAAAAATAATAAATATATCACCTGCTTTTCAGCGCCCAGGCTAATTCCACTGTTTCAGAGAGCTGGTATTGCAGACTAAGATGCTATGTGGCCGCAGTGAAGAGCTTCCAGTAAGGATCCCAGATGTAATGGCTGGATGGTTGCAGGTAATCAAGGAACCAAATGACAAGTTCCCTATAGCAAGCACCCTTCCCACGTACTGGTTTCACACAAAGATCTGAATCATTCCAATTTACCGTACTAGCCAAACAGTGCCCAGAAAACATAAAATGGTTCCCCTGGAAGCACTCAGAAGTTACTGTAAAAGTAGCTTGGATGAAAGCAGCGTGAAAAAGGAAGTAAGAATTAGTTGACTAACAGTATTTAACTCAATCAGCTTTATCAGATTATTTGAGAATTCCTGAATTCTGCAAAAGACTCGTTGCTTAGCAATAACAGTGTTTTGTTAATTACCTAAGTATATAAGGTGAAGCATCTTGTGATTTAAGCATGTGATATTTCCCCTTACGCTGATTTGTATCGAAAGATGCCATACAGTGATACACAAACATTTCAACACTTCAGCCAAAAATTAACAATAGACTAACACTGCCGAGTAGTAAAAGAAATAATCCCTGAAACGGATCACGAATGAGCCCTGCTAATTTATATCAGGATAGTACTAGAGGTATTTTGAGTTTTGAATTACATTTTCAATGGTTGAAAACCCATTATGTTATCATTCTAATCTGCATGGCAAGAATAGTAAATGAACTTAGCAGGCTCAAGCTGGTTGCATGACTTCCAAGTTATTCACTACCAGTGTCAAACAAATTTACTTAAGTAGATTCAAAATTGATAAATAACACTTGCCTTACTTGACATTCCTTTTGGTAAACACAGATAAATGCTCTCCTAGTAATACCACTCCACACAAAATATGCTATAAACCAACAACGAAGAGACACTCGGGCCACTGTGCACCCCACAGATATGCGTATCACAATACAATCTACTTCTTCATATCAGAGTAGGAAGTGACCCAGTAAATATTGGCATACATTCTGTCTGCAAGAACATAGCAGAGCTGACATTCTGATAAGCAATGACAAGATCAACTTATGATCTGCAGAAAGTGCATGGAAGGATGTTAATGATGTCTGAGAACTGTCACTGTTTATGTTATTTAGAGACATACCTCCACACAATATATCCTATAAAAATACTATCTCATTCAGAACTTTTAAAAAGATGATGCTTCTCACATAGATAGGTAACAGCTAACTTTTAACATGAATTTGTGCTTAACCCCAGCACAAAAAAAACTATAATTTGCTGCTATTTAGAGCCCAGAAGGGTCAATTTGTCTTGTTTAATACAACAAGGCTAGCTTCACATCTGCACTAACTATATAACAACACAGACACAAGTTCAGTGGCAAGGGACCACAAGGTAGTTTGGAAATAAGCAGAAATGCAGGTGTTTTTGCACTCAGGTTGGCAGAGTCAACAGATCTCAGTATCAAAAGCCTGCACCATCTTTATTTTCATTTTAAAAAGTTAGCCATCAGAATTACACAGTGAATCTCAGAGACTAAATGTTCCTGGCCAGAACTCAGAATTCTCCATGTTAAAATATGGAACTATGAAAAGAGGATCAATTCATTGTGTGTTTGGACAATACAAACTATGAAAGCAAAAATAAAGAAAAATAAATTCACACATGCCATATCTCAAGAAAATAAAGTAATATAACTTAATGCAACATAGGATTTAACAAACATTGTTGCATACTTTAGTTTTATAATATGGTGACCGAAGCAAATGATTTGTAAAATTAAGTGGATACTACACTCCAGTGACGTTTCAAGAAACAACAAAAACAAAACACAAAAGCAAGCCTTAAAATGAAAGATGTCTAGTGAGTTCTCTGAATCAGACCAGGATGAAGCACAAGGAAAAGTTTACAGTATGCACAGATTTGAGTAACCTTGTAGGAAATAACCTCTTACTCTAATATTTTCCTCTCTGCAAAAAAGACACGGCAGGGTCCCCACAAAAAGCATTTATCATCTCCCATCAGCTATTTCTGTTACATAGTTGAATAAACATCTGAAAAGCAGGATAAATAATCTCCTGAATATAGGTATAATCTTTCAGATGTTACTATCATACACTACTTCTATAGTAAAAACTATCTTCTGGAATGCAATAAGCCTGTGTCAGTATATCCAGCACTCAGCAGTATAGACATCAGAGAGACCATCCTGATGCATACTGACATTTCTTAAGAGAGAACACATAGATAACATGTACATAAAAATCATTAAGTTGACCATTCTATATAAGTCTTGTGATTTGTTAATATCATCACCGAGTGAAAGACCAACAAACTCCAAACCTGCACCAAGCTTTGCTGCTGCAAACATTCCTCCTTAACAGGCCATGCCAGAAATGTTGTAGAGAGAGACAAAGAGAGAGAGAAAGTCTGTCTCCTGCTATGCCACTGAGACTGAAGAGCTACAAACACTCATGATACTGTGCAATTCAGCCAACACCTCATCAAAACCAAGATCAAAACCAGTAAGTGGTACTGTACTGCACAAACCCTGAGGGAAATTTATAAACACTGATACATTGGCTCTCACCTTTATGCACCATAAAAACCAGCATATGAGATATGACAACAAATGACATCAACTGATCCTCTAGTAAACATTTGGGAACAGCTGTCTCCCCAGTGCCCCCTTCTCACAGTGGGAAAATAATTAGCACCCAAGCCAGAAGACTTTACCTTGTTGGAGGAAGATGTCTTCTCCAGGCCTTTTGCATTTTCTGACTTGTTGTTCTTCTCCGATGAATCTTTGGTTTCCACAGATGGTTTCCGGGGTTTTTCAAATATGTTAATCCCCAGGATTTGTGCTACTTTGTCAAGCTCAGACTGCTTCTTGTCAGCTGCATCAGATTCTTTATGCAGCTCTGAAATCTCCTTCATAATATTCTCTTGTAGTCTGTTCACCTCAACCAACAAGGGGTCTTTGTGTCCATCCTTCTCACGACGTTTCTTCCTCAACATCTCTCCTGAGCCAATGAAGGAAGTAGGAGAGTTGGAAACGCAACAGGAAAATTATCTTAAGATCTGTACAACTTTTCCAACAACAAGTGAAATACTAATATTAAATATTATAGCTAAATCTTGACTAGGAAGTTGTAAAGATGGAACTGACTCTCAGGTACAGCATCACTAAACCCGCACAATCCACCTCTGTGGATTGCCTTAATAGACAACCCTAATGGAAGCACCATAATCCGCAAGAGAGAGAATCAATTTAATAATCACTATTTCTCTGTATGACCAGACAAGCAAAAGTTAATCTACATTCTGACCTGAAAGTATAATTTCCCAAAGGTGTAGGAAGTTAGTATTTACTTGGATGAAACATAAGTTTTAAAAATAAAAAAGTTAGCTCTGTCTAAAGAGGACTTTTCTTTCTATAAGAAAGATTCATTAAAAATTGAAAGGCATGATGACATCTTCAGTTACTGTTTCTCACTTCTAAAGAAGCACTAAAATGTACAAAGTGCAACTCATTTAACTTATCAAGCTGCTGAAGAAGATGCAAAAGCAACTTTTTGTTTCAGTGTAACAATCAAATCTTGACATAATTAATTTTAATATAGCAATTACATCACTGCTTTCTCAAGAGTTCTGCACTGCCCAGAGTATGACAATATTAAGCTATAGATTATTATTAATATTATGCTTGTGATACAACCCAGTGGAAAAAAAAAGTGAGGAGGTGGAATGCACTGTACCTTGCTGTTTACGAAGCCTGTCCAGTTCTGTCTTGAGATAGTAAAGCTTCTTCTGACGTGCTTCTCGTTCGTTCTTCAGTTTTTCTCTCTCTTCTATCACCTAAACAGATTGGAAGGGGACTGGATTTTCTTCTTTAAGTAAATCAGTCTTGCAAGATTGACAGCAAGACCTCTGTTTGCCAGTCGCAGAATACTGGACATTATTCTCAAAATGTTCTTGAGTATTTTAACACAATAAATACATCTCTGCATCTGCAGGTAACTGTATCATGTGCTCATGCTTCAACCCTATATGAAGGTAACTTTTTTCTTTTGGGCAGTGTATTCCCCAAAACTTGCTTTGTTGCACCACTTCCCAAAGCACTTGAGCTCAACCAAGTATCTTCTACAGGGGTGAGCAAGATCAGTGCTAAATGGCTCTTCAGAAGTCATGCAGTATTTATACAGCTAGCATGTTCCATCAGTGACAGAAGACTTCACAGCATTTCACCCTGCCTCCTGCTTTGAGTCTGACCAATTTTAGCTATTATTTAGGCTTCTGCTTCAGTCTGATCATAACTGTATCACCAAATATATTTTGTAGACATAACTGTGTGAAATGAAACACTTGGACAAAGTTTGTTTTGTGCAAAATAAGGTAAACTCTGGCATGAGGAGATCACAAATCCACCTTCCACTGTTATTCATTGGTTCTCACAGAAGGAAACTAGGTAATATGCCAAAATGTAACCTGAAATGTTCTTTTCATCTCCTTCCCAGCTTCATTTTTCAAGAGACAAATCCCAATTTTTTTACCTTCACAATGCTTTTAAAAGTTTACTGCTGACTCTTCCTGTGAAGAAACAAGAATTGGCCTTGTCTTCCCTGCAGAATCACCACTGCTATGGCAATGTAGATGTTGGGAGGATCCCTAGATCCTGCCTGGAGTAAGCCCTGGAAGGACTTCTACCAACACTATTAGGCTGCAACTTAAACATCAGACCTTTTGGAGGCTTTTGTGTTGTTTTGGTTTTTTTAACCACCAAAACACCATTCTCTCATTCTGAGTTTTCTGCCAGCATAGGGGCATCAACTGGATCATGAAAGTTTTTATAATTCAAGCCATACCAGCAAAATCATGGTGGACTAAACCCAAGTCAAAAACGTCTGCAGTGTATACAAAGCCCTAGAAGTTATGCCAAGATGCACAGGTGAACTACCAGGGTATGTCATGGCAGGAGAAAAACCACACACCTTCAGGCAACAGAGCTCTTCCAGAAGTGCCAGGATTCATTAACAACAAAATTTCAAACATGTCAGCTGAAGAAATGATTATTCCTGCAAGCAGTGAAAGCTCCCTTATCTGCTAATGTAGCACTTTGTGTCAGTACTCCTCTTTACGTCAATTCAAAGAAGTTATCTCAGACCAAAAATTTAAAGTGACTTGAGTCTCTCTTGGGTTCAGTGGTCCATCTTTCCTTAGCCTGATTTGTTCTGAGGAGCATGATAGTTATAACTGAGCAGGCAAAAAGCTGCAAGCCTCTGCCACATGCTGCTCTTCTACTAGATCCACCAACACAACGTATCTTTATCACAGCTACACGGAAAGAATGTCTCTAACGTAGATACACATATGTAGATGAAAAATTAGATAGGAGCTGGCTACGTGTGCTTGCAGCTCAGAAAGCAAATTCTATTCTGCACTGAAAAGAAACCATGGCCAGCAGGTCAAGGGAGGTGATTCTTTGCTTCTACCCTGCTCTCATGAGACCCCCACCTGGAGTACTGCATCCAGCTCTGGGACCTCCAGCACAAGAAAGACATGGACCTGTTGGGGCCGCCCAAATGATTAGAGGGCAGGGACACCTCTCCTATGAAGAAAGGCTGAGAAAGTTGGGTTTGCTCAGCCTGGAGAAGAGAAGGCTCTGGGGAGACCTTATTGCAGCCTTTCAGTACTTAAAGGCTGCTGTAAGAAAGATAGAGAGGCACTTTTTACCATGGCCTGTAGTGACAGGACAAAGTGCAACTGTTTTAAACTAAACAAGGGTAGATTTAAACTGGATATAAGGAAGAAATTTACTGTGAGGGTTGTGAGACACTGGAAAAGACTGCACAGAGAAAATGCGGATGTCCCCTCCCTGGCAGTGTTCGAGGCCAGATCAGATGGTGCTTTGAGCAACCTGAGCGAGTGGAAGGCATTCCTACTTATGGCAGGGAGGTTGGAAACAAGACTACCTTTAAGGTCCCCTCCAACCCAAATTATTCCATAGTTCTATGCCCTTATTCTAACAACAAAGTGGACACCAGTTTGAAAACCCAAACAACTTCCAGAAATCTTTCACTCGTTTGACAGTTATACAACTACAGTTTCTCATTTAGACTATGTTCTTCCCCACTATTCTCCAATTATCATACAAACCAAGGTAACTAGAAGGGGGAAATATTAACACCCATAACCTAAACCGGTGTCAGAGGCACCAAGTAAATAACAAGTTCCCTTAAGTTTTCTGATTTTGTCATTCTTGTAAGAAATAATTAATATAAATGTACAAGGAAATTTGCATGCAACTGTGAACAATTACATTCTTTACTATGTATTTAAGAATGTCTAATATAAATATACTATTTGTACTATTCTACCATGCTCAGATGGAGCCTCTTGTGTTTCGGTTTGTGTCTATTTCAACTTGTCCTGCCACTGGACACCAGTGAAAAAAGCCCAGATCCACCTTCTTTATACTGTCCCTTCAGGTATTTATGTATTTTAGATACATTCCATATTTCAATATCTAAAGCTCAGCAGAATAAAGCCAAGCTGTGACCACCAGGGCTTTTTTTCTAAAAGATTTTGACTTGCCCAAAGAACTTCAACTTTGTGCTTGTTTTCATCTGTTCACCCATAACCTATGGGCATACAGCTTTAGGGGATTTTAAATGAATTTTTTAAAATTGTCTTTAAAAAAAAGAAATCTTTGACAAAAGCAAATTTAGTCCAGCAGCTTTTAAACTGGAGCCGCTCAGGGAAAAAAAAAAGAAAAAAGGCACACCTGAAAAAGAAAAGCTTCTACCCAGCAATCAAGCAGTCCAACATATTTTGATCTATCAGAATAGGTAACATACCTTCTGCTTTTGAGCTGCCCGATTTTTTTCATCTGACATCTTTTCTGTGGTATTTTTGAGAGGATGCGAAGACAGACGAAGAGGTGCTTTGGAATGAGTTGGAGTGGTAGGGACAGGAACGAGCACAGAGCCATCTCTTTTTACATCAGGGACGTCCTTCCCCATAGAGACTGTCTCAATCACCCGGAGGTTGGGACGTGTGGGGTTCACTGACATGGCCACAGTAAGAAGACTGTGAGCTTCTGGCAGTGCAGGATTAGGCTGCTGGGCAGCAGGGTACATGGGCCAGCCAGGGGCCGCGTACGCCATATAGTGTCCATACACATCGTAGCCTGGAGGAGCCATTGTGGGAGGTGGATAGTTTTGGTGCATCTGAGTGGCAGTGAATTTGGAATAGTTGGGAATCTGGTACTGGGAAACAGAAGTAGGTGTAGGTGGCAAACTAGCAGGAGCCGGTGGAATTGAGGGAATGAGAGAGACAGAAGGAAGAGGCTGTTCAGGTGCACGCGGAGGTATAGTCTGTCGCACCGGCTTGTTCTTCGTGTAGTCTGCTTTCCGAAGAGAAGATGCATCTTTGGACTGCTGGAAGGAGACTGGAGGCGACGCTGAGCGTTGCTGGCCCGACTCAGGAGAACGAGTGTCGCTCCGGCTGCGCCGCAAGTCCCAGGGGTCCAGTCTGCGGGGATCTGAAGAGCGACGGTCAGGAGAACGAGATGCCAACTTTTTGCCGTGAAGGCGTTCCTGGGTACGAACAGCCAGTTTTCCAATTTCAGCAACACCAATGTCAAGTCCAATGGTTTTGAGTAAGTCATGGATCTTTGCATACTCGGCATTAGGCTCTTCTAAAGGATCGAGCTTGGCAGCTGGAGCAGGAGTAGGAGGTGGGCTCACTTTCTGGCTTATTATCTCATTGCCACAACTCGTTGGGGGTTTATGAACAGGGAGGGATTCAGTTTTGGTGTCCTCATCCTCATCACCATAAAGAAATTTCTCTTCATCCTCAATGTCAGGAAAACTACGTCTCCTCTTCTCCTGAGCACTGACAGAATCAGCCATCATGCCCAGAATTCGGGAGAAACCACTGCCATCCTGACTGGCCCTCTCATGAGGCAGCAGGAAGTCAGAATGGCGATCAGCAGGCTCTGACTTGGGTTCCGCCTTTTCTTTGTGACTTAAGAAGCTCCCAAATTTCTCTTCAAACATGAAAGTGTCTTTGGGAGCCCCAGAAAGTGGGCTCCACTCATACAAACCATCACAGAACTCCTTGTTTGCAGACTCCACAACAGAGTCTTTGGTAAACCGTTTGAGAAAGTTCTCCACTTCAGAGGCAAAAGGAGCTGTGTCATCGCTCTGGGGTAAAGACGAATGACTAGAAAGAAGAGGAAGATCCTTGCTGGGAGCTGGACTACTTGAAAAGCCCTCAGGCTGAAAGACAGAGATGTTACTATTTACTACAGCACCTTCTGAGACTATGCATCTCACAGAAAAAAGGAACATGTTAATTTTTCCTTGAGTTCATAGCTGAAGAAAGGAGTTAGAAAAGACAATATAAAACTGAAAGTGAACACAGAAGATTACAAGACAAGTTGCCTAATGATTTTGGACTGTCACATTTTCTCAGAGAACACATAAAATCACAATTATTTTTCTTTTTTTATTTTCATAAGCCTAAGAATGGAAACTTTTAAATTGAAACCCCAGAACGTAATTTTGGTTATGCTTTGAGTTCAATCACAGACAACTAGGTTTTCAACACCTTAAGATAGGTAAAACCAACTGCACTGGGGTTATTTGCAGTTAATTCCTCAGATATGCATAATTAATGCCATGTTAAATAGGATTTACAATAATGGGTGTAGAACAAGATCCTCAGTATTGGAGCACCAACTGAGATAAAACAACACTGATCAGTATAACAGGGAGATCAAAAGTGATGAGCTAACACATGAGAAAAGTCAATTTATCACAGTGATCCAAATCACTTATCTTTCCATTGCTCTGATTTTGAGACTAAACTGGTATAGCCTGGGTACAAATTAAATAGGGGTGATCCCAGCCTCCAGTCCAAAGGGAAAAAATAAGGAAACTCAAAGTTCATATTTTTGGTCAGAGGTACTAAGGATTAGGCAGTTCTGTAAGTGTATAAAGAAACAAGAAAGAGGTATCATGACAGGCACAGTGTCCTGACTGCCCATGGTACAAAACCACTCAGCTCTTCTACAAAAGCTGGCGCAAACCTCAGCACCCTGGGCTGAATTTCAACAAGGACATTTAATCCTGCCTCAGATTTAATATACTTATGATTCTTGATTAAATGCCTTCACCGTTTAAAGTTTCTAATGCAATCCTATCTTGTATAGGCCTGCAAAAAGATACCTGTCCTCTCAAAGATAGGAAAACATAGCCATTTGGCTTTTCTATTTTGGAAATCAAACTAATGTTCTGTAGCATGAAATGACTGTTTTGGAAAGTAGAAACATATAGACAGACAAACAGAGATCAAACCTGAATAGGAGACTCTACTTCCGTCTCCACTCGCTTCTTCAAAATAGATTTTCTGGGCATGGATGGGATTTCCTCAGGCCTATACGTATACCGAGGCTGCGAAGTCTGTAGTGTGTTAGTCAATCCAGGGATCACATAACTGCTGCCTGAAACGTCATGATTCAAGTTTCTACTGCGCTCCTCTTCTTCTCTTTTCCTCCTTGCACGGTCAAGCTCTCTGAACTCTTCGTTCAGGTAGGATGGGCTCGGGCTCCTACTGCGGCTGCGGCTGTGGCTTCGTCTGCGGTAGTTTCGTGTTCCTGAAGAGAAACCCTGATGCTCTCCACTCACACTATGCATCTTCTCGTCCTTTTCATATCGTGGACGTTTTATTTCTCGGCCCCTCTCTTCTGGCCTCGCTGGGTAGGAGGACTTCCTGGGCTTGTCACCATCTCTGTCAGATGCACGAGGCAGCTCTTCTCGATGACCGTAATGCGGACTGTAATCTGAGCGATAGACAAAAACGTCTCGGCTGCGGTAGTCTTCGTCATGTCTCACGAGGAAGGGACTCGAAGGTCGATCTTCATGAGAGGGGTACCTCTCAATGCCTCGAGAACATGACAGGCCTCTAGTGAATATTGGACCATCAGCCATATCATCCCTGTGTAAGAGAAGAGTAAACATAACTACTTGAGTCAGAGTAAGCCAAGTCTTACTCCTACTCAACAGTAAGAAATTTCCAAATTGGTTTCAGAATAACATATCCATCACTGAACAGAAGCAACATCTTAGGTACTTAAAAGGCAAGAAAGAGAGGAAGACTTATTTTTAAGGTACTATACATCCCTCCTAGGAAGTCACATGCAAACACAGCGACATGAACAACAACTGCAGAAGGAAAGCCTTGAAAAATTGATGGGATGGATTTATTTCTGTGAGGGAGAAAGGCTACACATTTAAAAGAAAAACCACCTTACTATCATCTTTCAGACCACAAGTCCTTTCCTCACCTCTCCCAGCAAGATGCCAAGGTCACATTTCATATGAATTATTCAAGGTATAATTCAGTTTCACATTGGCAATGCAATCAGATCCTTCTTTTATCTTCAGCTGTTGACAAATTCTAGCAACATTTTCTGTTGAAACAGATCCATGTACAGGACTGTCATCACATGAACTGCTATCCTCAAAAAGCCCAGGTTTTGATAACACATTTGTGAATTGGAGACAGTAAATGTAATAGTATCATTCCTCTGTGCCAGCCCCTGCACTATTCCATACAGCGGACGTGCAACTGGTGCAACACCAGAATAACTAGTTACAACTCCTGGAGTATCTTGTTTTGGACCAATTCCCACACACACATCCAATTAGGAGTATTGTTTGAACTAGGCCTTTCTCTCCACCCCTAAGAACTTTTCTGGGACTGTTCTTTAGATCGGGCAGAAACACTTTAAAATTACCAGCTGCTGCTTTTATTCACGGGTATTTCAAAAAGCTTGCAAGATCCTCCAAGAATAGGAGCAAATATGCTCCTTACGTGAAATCAATGGGACAGAAAAATGTCTTTCCTGAGGATCAAGACATCGACTTGAGATAAACTATGTACGACTGCCTGAATCCTCAAAAATCACCTTCTCCTACTCAGAAAAGTCACTCCATGGATCTGAGAAGGAACAAAGCAAGCTATGCCAAATGATACCTTAAAAAAAATTGCAGATAAATTACAGCCCCATTTTTTAAGGCCGCCAGACTAAAGAATACAGACATAAACAGACATGGTCTTTTTGTTGAGTATTTTCATAGTTTACGCATGTACATTTAAGAACAAAATCAACACAAAACTTTGCTTTATTTCTAACCTGCATCATAAGAAAGCATTTTGTTTCTGATTTAATGATATATCTGTCCAACACATCTTATAAGGCAAATGTGGCATATACCAGTACTCACCGTATTAGACAAGTGATTTTCCAGTTTCCAGCAAACTACACACATGCACCCCCTTCCAAAAGCACAAAAATATCTAAAAAGTAGCTAGAATTAAATTTCACACACAAATGTTGCCCCTCACAGTCTACATAGAGGTCCACCTATCCCCAGTGTCACCTTTACCAAGATCCTGCTAAACCTATACAAGCTGCATGAGCACACCTGGGAGAGTAACCATATATATTTCACTACACATCTTCAGCTGATTTTTGTGCAAAGAATTTGCATGCATGCTTGCAGGTGTCACCTCCAATTCAAATCCTCTGACTGCAGTGGCAAAGCAGAAGGAACATTTATTCATACTTCAGAAAGAAAGAAACAGCAAACCTACTATACTTACAACTAGAAAGCTGTTCCAAATACACTCTGAACAGGTAAGATGCAAATTTAAAACCCAAAGATTAACCACAGGTGTGAGGAAGAGGATTACTTGCCTTATAGAAACTGTGATTCTTTGAAACGTATTTTCTGTAAATAGAGCCCAAAAAAGTTATGTCCCTCTTAACTGACTTGGGTGCTTTTAGCCATCAATGTCCACTACAGACTAGTGCATCCCTCAGAGAGGATACAAGGTAGTACCACTGTGACCATCCCAATTCCTTCACCAACACAGAATCTGTGAATTACTGGAATTTGCAGGTTCAGAGACCACAGGTTACATAGACATGATGCCTTGGAGAACTACAGCTAGCATAAGGTAAATTTACTTTTTGGCATGTTTATTCATATACACAGAAAGAAAAATAAATAACAGTATTCTGCTGTCAGCAACCAACAATACTCCACCTTAAGCCACAGTCTTTGAACAGGAAGTCAGATGAGCTGCTCATACTCAAATCAACTGTTGCTCTTGATATTATGCCAAAAAAATGCTATTTCAGACCACAGTTTAACACAGACTAAGTCTCTGCAGTGATATGGTCTTATCTTTTGGATTAACCTCAGATGAAGGAATTGGTGGGATGCTCTGTATAGCTTATGCCAGCTCAGACAGTAGTAGAATACCTTAAAAATACTGACAGAGGGAGAGACAGAAAACAGGGATAAGATATTCTTCACTTTGATAGACTTGAGATTCTGGAAGACAAAAAAACACTGTTGAAGTAGAGATTGAAGTTGCTTAGGAGACATTGAAGTCAGAGGCCAGCAGCATTTGGTATGCTTACTTAGACAAGTGTAGGAGGCCAGATGTCAAAGAAACTTGTGGCAAATTCTTACAGATCTTTTAGGATGGACCTGCACATGGACACACACCCTGAGAAATTCTCCTGGGACTTCCTGAAAATCCACTGCTGCAGGAGAATCCAAAAGCATCCCTGATTTCCATCCTTTGGTGTTTGTCCTGGTTTTGCTGGGACAGCAGCACAGGCCAGCCATGCTCTACAGCCTGTTAGCTATTTTAAGTTAGCCACGGGAGCTGACCCAAGCTGGCTCACTGATGTATCCCATCTCATAAATGTCATGCTCAGTATAAAGGGGGAAGTTTGCTGAAGCTAAGGCAGTTTCCTACTTGGGTTCAGGCTCCTCCTGATTCTTCTCTTCCTTCTCCTCTTCGCCATGCTTGGAGGGGTTTGCTGACCACCATCCTGCTCCTGATGGCTGCTTCACATTTATTGTGCCTGCAGGATATTTGCTGGGCTGAGTATAGCTCGTATACTTCACATTGGTGTTGGTGTTAGTTTGGCTGGTTTGTTTTTTCCAACATAAACAATTCTCTGATTAAGTTCACTTTCATTTCAACCCACAGGTCTTCTCTCTTCTCCTTTTTGTGATTTCCCTCCTCTGCTGAGAAGGGGTCATCAGGTGATACGAATAACTGCTCTAATTTAGTACCAGATACAGGCAAAAGGTAGACAGTATTTTATTTCTTTTATAGGCTAATGAATATCTCTAGCATCCCAAGGCCCTGCAAATTGCAAAGAATAATTTGTAAAAGTGATTGCTTGAAATCGACGAGTAGTTAGTAAAAACCAGCTGAGAATAACTACATTCAGAATTATTTGCTCCAATTAACTCAAAATTTGAAGGGATGTATTTTAAAAACACTTTTTTTTTTTTTAAATGAGAACAAGAGCATACCATATGTCAAATAAGAGTGTGCTAGACCCAGTATTAAACCCAGTGAGGATTTACAATAATGGCTACTTGAAAGCTCAGTGATAGATATAAAGTCAGTGTCCCAGTACCAGGGCAGCTTCTCAGGGGGGAAAACAAATATGTGATGAAAAAATACATGACAATGTTCTTAATTAAATACAAAGTGTCTTTCAAAAACAACCAAAACGGCTAAGCCATGAAGAAGTTTGGAAGTCAGAGGCAGTACCTAGAAAATTCTGGAAATGCTAAAGGATGACTAGGTTGTTACATACTTTAAGCTTCTGGACAGCGGGCATCACTCAGACAAGTGCATCTGGCACAAACCGATTGGACAAAATATTTTATTGAATACCTACACCACAAATATATGAAAAGTCACTTAAAAAACTGAGGTCTCACTTTCTCTTAGTCTCATTCTGATTCATCTGTCACTTTCATAACTTTAAGAGTCTATTCTGACAATTCTTTTACATCTGTGGTCCTGTAACAGAAATAAAGTGAAAGTTCCTTGTCATTTTCACTCTTATTTTAAAATAAACTCCACTGTACCTGATGTTACTTTTTACCATGCATCATAACCACAAAACAGGTTAAACATAAAACCTCATTGGAGAAGAGGAAGCAATGGGACAAATACAGACCCCTGCCCCACGTGTTCTTAATTTGCCAGAGCAGTGCCAGTTCTCCTAGGTAGCATTTTCTGCTCTCTCCCTGGGCATATGCACTCATTTGAGTCAGAAGACTGCGGACTGCTCAAGGGGATTTACAAATCAAACAGTGATCCCAGGAGAACTGAGGTAAAGGTGGGAAAGTTACAGTACTGAAAACTAAACTCTCATTTGGTTTTCTGCACCTGCTGAAACTTATAGCCTTACACTTGAGAAAGAGGAAATTCACTAATTTTAACTTTTTTTTAAAAAAAAAAACAGTTGGGGATATTTGCATCAAAAATGAAAGTTATAGTGCTTTTTTTTGGTGTTGGATGCTTATCTCTGACCTGAAACTGCAACTGTATGCTCTGGGACACAAACTATGCTATCTTTAGCTTCACAATTCAAGGCAAAGAAAATTATTTTATTTGCACAAAGCCTTCTGATTTTAATTCTTTTGACAAATTATACTTGTTTTCGTACCGAGAGAAAAAGATTTCCAAACGGCATCTACTATTAATTACACTGCACTGTTCACAGCAGTATTTTAACATAAAAGACATCTTTTGATTAACTATGTGTCTCTCCCAACTCCAGTCAAGGGACCCTAAGAATTCTAATGTTTACTTAATCACATATGGGACTGTCTGACTGCATTCATTTCTCTGCTGCAGCATTTTTAAAGTCAAAATAATACATTTTCTTCAAGTTACACAAGAGGTTTCTTCTGGACTATTCTCAAAAGTCAGGAAAGTAGATTATTCTGCCCAGTAAATGAGGAAGTTGAAGCTTTACACTACCCATCAATAACCTTTCTTTCAGACAGGACCACCTAAGTTTGTAAGAAACAGAAGAAGGTGGCTGAAGCAGTGAAATGTCAAACGAAGCAACTAACTCCTGCAAGATGCTCTGGGCACTTTTAGTTTATATAGGTTTTAGACGCAATTGACAAAGACCAGAGAAGAAATATCTGTTTAGAATTAACTAGCAACACAGGCAATTACTTTTGTTCAGGAATCCTCTGCACTACAACTTGCTAGAGGCTGGGGAGTGTTCCAGAGAAGCATCACTACATGCTTGCCCTCTTACTCTCATTCCCTAGGCATTCACTGGGCTAATTAGAAGTTTGGTCTCACCCAGTACAGCCATCCTCACATTCTTACTGTTTCATACACTCGAATCCCCACCTGCAGAGGACCATACCTGTCACTCAGGTTATCAGTTGGTGAGCCCAGCCTATCGGGCAGCCTCCTTCGCTCTGGTGTGCCGAGGCAGTACCGGTCATTCCCAACAGTAATGCGCAAGCCCTGTTCCAGCGAGGACTCGGAGCGGAGACTCGGGGAACGCCGCTGTGAATGGAAAAGAGTGCAAGCCTGTCAGCCAGGGAATCTGCATCTCAGCTACTGAAAGGCAAACGACCCTGCTCTGTTTAACACGTAAGACGATGGATCGATGGATGGATGCATAGATCAATTAAAAAAATCCAACTAGAACAATTATTCAAACTATTTAAATTGTCTTTAGTTACTAAAGAAAGTGGAGGATATTGACTGTATTTATTTCTCAGCCCAGCTATATAGCTCCGTCTTTATTTGCATTATCTAGTAGGGAAATTTTCAACTAAAAAATACATTTCACAAAGCACCATTTTGGAAGGTGGCAAAACAGAGACAAGTTCAAGAAGATTTGCTGCTGTCCTCCTTTCTTTGTAGGGGAAAACCAGCTCAACAAACACTACATAGAAAACAGTGCCAGGAACTTCTTAATAAAAGTGTCTGGATTTCTGGCCCTTTCCGACTTTAGCAACAATGTAAAACAAATTCTAAACTGAGATCTTCCTAGCACTGATATTTTCAACAGTTTTCCTCACCTCGTGCTGCTTTCAGCAGACAAGCACAGCATAATACTAAAACCACCAGTGACTATAGAAACACCTTCTGTAATAGAATTCCCATTATTGTTATGTGTTATTGGCAGAACAAAACCAGAGCTAAGTAAAGTTGCCTTTGAAAAAATTACAGCAGAGAAGGTCTGAGCTCACTGCCAGACCTTCCTTTGGACACATACTCAACACAGAAAACATCATTATCGGTAAGTTATGATTAACTAGTTATGCCTCATATCATGCTAGAATATGGCACTACAATACAGGAAGGGAAGTTCCATAAGAAACAGATGACAATGACTGAAGACAAGAGAACTTGATTTGCCTTTTTAAACCTATGTGATTTAGATTGAGCTTAACAGGAAGCAATGAACCAGCTTCAGTTCTGCCAAACTAGCCATGTGGTGCATATATTGCTTTCAGCCCTGAAAACTGCAGTAGCAAGCAGCAGGTGCACTATGCATCCACTGTGCATCCACCATAAGAAGATGCAGCAGATTCAGCTCAATCATCCAAGAGACCAAAAGAAGAACAGCACAATCTCCAACAAGAAAGCTAAACAATGCCCTCACAAATTTGCCTGAACAAAATTTACTTGCAGTACAAATCTGCACTAGAATACACTGTGTGCGTAACCTTCTCCTAAGATAACGTATTAGTGATTTCTTGTTTGCTCTGTTAATCTGTATCCTAGCATTTATTAGAACACATGTTAATTACTTTGTACGACCAACCGTGTCATATAGCATAATATGATCCTGCAACAGCCTGGCTGAGATCCCACATACACTAGGTGCATGTGTCTCATATAGACACACTCTGAAGACTCACATGTGTGAAGTGCTGGCATTTAAACCCCCAGTCCTGAATGAGGGTTGGCATACGGATGATGTCCACAACCAGGCAAGAAGGACCCTCCTGATGGGTTTTCACCCAGGGCCTGGCGAGCCTTTGGTGGGAACTGATTAGGAGTTCACTACCAGATGCCCCCACCTTCCACATTAACTTGGAAGCGGGGCAAGAAGACACCTATATAAGAACTGACTGCTTGCAGCACAGTGGATGTGCTGTGTGGAGATTCTGGCTATTGAAAGGGCTCCCTAACTCTTCATAGCAAGTGGAGTTCCCAGGATGGTGGGGCAAGATCATGAATTTCTATCTGGGAAATTCTACATAACGGGACTCATCATCTGGCTAATTCTATCTCCCACGGCTTGGATTCTTTGGCCATCTTGTTCCCTTCTTCACATCCTTTGCATTGAGTGAGTGCATACATAGAATCCTTTAGGTTGGAAGAGACCTTTAAGATCATCAAGTCCAACCATTAAGCCAACACTACTAAGTACTCTGCTAAAACAGATCAGAATCTGTCAGGGTTGGAAGGGACCACAAGGATCACCCAGTTCCAACCCCTCTGCCATGAGCAGGGACACCTCACACTAGATCAGGCTGTCTAGAGCCTCATCCAGCCTGGTCTTAAAGACCCAAGGACATTGACTTGTTCCTCTCTCCAGCTGTCCAGCACTTTGGATCTCTGGTGTGTGTGATATGGGAGTGAAGAGTTTGATTGCTGGTTTGCCCATCAGTGATAATATCATTTTATGTCGGGCAAGCGGTCAGCAGAAGACATGTGCCCACCATAACACTGAATTTTGAGGACTGCCTCAAGCAGTGATTATTTTGAAGGGCATCTTGCGACTGAAAGTGTTGGCAAGTTGGACATATACATGACAACCATCTCCAGGAACTGCAGACAGAGAAGCAATGATCACAGCTCAGAACAAACTCCTGGGCAAAAGAAAGAAATTACTTGCATTCAGAAAGTTTGGGATGTTAGGATTGCCTATGACTTCTACAGACAGCACTTACAGTGGTACATATTTGAAGTTCAAAAAAAAAATATTTTTTTTTCCAGTTTTAACAGCTCTTTCATTTGGAGCACTGATCACCACCGCCAGCATTACTACTTATGCACTGCATTTTCCTCCCTTCCTGTTCTGGCACCTAAACCACAGTTACCATTGCCATATTACAGCACAGGCTGCATACCAGCTCTCCATTTCTTCTTTCTCTGTTGATCCAACACACTCCAGTCCTCTAATTTCAGCCAGTTTTCTTACAAGAAAGCAAAGAAGCTCAGAGTAACTACAAAAAGAACAAGGATGCTGATCAGAAGGGACAAATAAAAACAGCATGTGTCAGCCTTGCAAGAACAAATTAACATTTGCCAAAATCTCTCCTTGTACAGCCCTGACCTTCCTCTCCCCCATTACATTTTTCAATGCTCACCCCCAAAAAAAAAAAAAAAGCCAAAAAGAAACACAAAACCCCAATTCCCAGAATGAAGAAAAGGGAATAAGAAATCTCTAAGGCTGCTCCTTCCACACTGTAAGCCATATGAAGGGTAGGGACAATAACTCAGAGCTTGTACTCCAAACTTTTCTGCATTTCAACCCCATGCCCTTACTGTATCAGTGTCTTCATTCCATATCCTGCCTACATCTTCCACCCTTATGCATATACTCCCCTTTTTCAAGTCCTCCTTCCTTCTTGCAGCTTCAATTCCTCTTTCTCTGTCTTCTACCTGAATTCACCTCTCCCCAGTGACAGCTCCAAAACGCCACTTACTAACACATTTGTGTAACTCTCCACATTTTCACACTTTGTATCCTCAAACATCTAGAGAGGGGGGGCTTGAGACATATAAATCTGAAAAATGCAGTAAAGCTTTACCAGATCATGCTGATCTAATGTATGTGCTGTCTGATTTGTTTTGATCACTCTTAGTTCCACTGGAGAACATCAGTATAATCCCAGCTTTTATCTTTCTAAAAAGTAAACTTCTAAAAAATAAAATCAACCTCTATATGTATTTTCTGCTTTATAAGATCATTTTTAAAGAATTAGCACTGTTGGTCAAACATCTTTTGGTGGTCAAAAGCTTCCATGGAAAACATGTGCACAACACACACTCTTAAGAATTAACTTACAGTTTAGCTTTAGCATATTCAAGAGACAACACACTACAAAGAGCTATATTTGCCTCAAGATCACTCTTACTGTGACAACCACGTCCTAGAGAAAGGTTTTCCTTCAATGCAGTATTCTTGTAAATAAACAAAAAAAAAAATGTTTGGCTCAGCAGTTAAGCACTAGATACCTTGCTAAAGCCTAATTTCTAGAATTAATAATTTCTTAACCTTTCTTCTCTGAAATTAGAATATGGAAGAAAAACAGAGAATCTGCAAGAATTTGCCGAGATAACTGTTGTAACTTGAACCAGAAGGGTGCAAAATAACACAGGGAAGAACAGCAGTTGTCAATAATAATGTTTGTGTAAAGGGGGTCGGGGGGGTGCTGTTTGGGTTTTTTTTCCCCCTTGGAGTGGAAGGCTTCTAGTCAAAAAGTCATAGTCCAAATTTCTCCAAGTTTGAACTACCAACACAACTGGTACTGAAAGTTTTGTTACAGCTGGCACAGATTCACAGTGTATCATTGAGACAGTGAAAAGACAGCCCGAGTGATGGTGAAGTCAGTTTGAGAAAGTTCTGCTCCTGTATCTCTGTCACTCCCTCAGTTGTGACTATGCGACTGTCCATCAAACCACAACACAAACTGACAGCAATCAGATTCAAAATTATTTCCTTTTAAGAAATTATTTCTTTTCAACCTGGGTCTTACTAGCAATGCAATTTGCAGGGCTGCCCCACAGATAACTTATAGAACTAAGCAGAACACTGAAATACAGCCTAAAAGCAAAGGGCCAGGGGCAAGATTCTCATCCTGGCTTGGCTTAACTGTCAAGTACAACATTAACTTCCCGTACATTCAAGACAGCTCACCTTTAAATAACACCACCAATAGCTGAATTTTAACTCCACTACAATCACCTGTGATCTCTTCTACAGCTACAAATCCAGAAAGAACTTGTACCACCATCAGAAAGGGCAAGCCCCATTCCCTCCTGGGGTCCCACCATGCAATGAATTACAGCAGATAAAATATCTGCGTTGGATGGACTTTCAGCCACATCTTTTCCTCAAATCAGCTCACCCTGCAACTTCACAAATACAAGTATGAACACAAGGGAGGAGACAGAATATTCTGCAGAGACAGTAAAAAGTGAGTGTAACTTTCTTTTCTGTTGCACACATGCTGGACTGAGTGACCACAAAACCACAGTCTACAATGTCCCAGTATGAAAATCTGTTCTTTCAGTGCAATACACAGTACACCCACTACCTACCACAGGTAACAGTGATCGGATGAGACAATCATTGCACCAAGGAGTAACAGGAAAAAACTTAAGTGAGCAAACACCACTTGCTCAAAAAGAAGCATGGCTAGACACTCTGGTTTAGTACAAACACGTCTGCATCCAAGATGGTATCAGTCCAGATGCCAAACCAGAGTTTCACATGCCCAAATCAGATTTTGCCAAGAAGACTGAACACCTTG